GACTACATATTATACACAAATGCGTGCAGGAAAACAGATACGAATATCCCAAATGCGAATATCGAACAAAAGTTGGTCAAAGTTTTGGCAAGATTCAGCTACAAAAAGACAAGTGTTGAGAGTAAGTTACGAAGTCTTCAGCATTCAGCATAAAACATTCACTATAATGTTACAAACGAAGTCACTTCTCAAACCCTTCCTAAATATGTAAAGATAAGGGTTATGACTATGTATTGAAACAGGTTATGAAGAAAAACCTTGTCTATTTGTTATCATGTAAAAATCTGTTACAAGAAAAACAGTTGTGAGGAAGTTATAGATGTATTTTAACACATGTAATAGTCAAAAAACTTGTCAAAGTTCATGAATGAAAACTTGTCAAAGTTGTTTCATACAAAACATGTGTATTCCTATTTCTTTCATCGTATTATAACACCATTATGAAGTTGAGACGTCTTCTTCATTAAGTGTCTATAAAATAAAAGGGCCCTCTTTTATAAACCTCATGTTGATAATCCATGAGAAGAATCATAAAGCATTTTCAAAGGATAAAAATGCTAAGCTATTCTATAAGTCCTAAATAAGTAAATAGGCAAGAATAGAATATAAAGAAGTACCCATAAAACTTCTTAACATAAAATACTAAGGAAAAACTTAGTCAGCAAAAGTATTTGTTTTACAAATGCCCCATTATGGTAACTGGGGACTTTATCAAAAGATCCTTTAAAAATTGCTAAGGGATGACATCAACAATACTAAAAAAATAATAAAAACTTTAACATATTTAATTGGTCACTGAAGGAGTTGGAGCTTCGGAAGTTGTAACCTCACTTTCAGAGGCAAGAATAGGCATGGTAACAACTTCTGAAGGAGCAGCAATAGGAGCGGTTTCAACTGATCTTGAAGTGATAACATCAACGAGAGAAGCAATAGTCACGGGAACTTCAATTCCCATAGACTGTGTCATAGAAGCTTCACCCTCGGAAGACGGAATCACAGCTTCAATAACTGCTTCGAAATTCAATAACTCTTCCATTCCAGGAGCTTCGAGTGCTGGAGAAGGGGTATCAATAGTTCCAAGTGCAGGAGAAGGAGTATCAGCGGTTTGTTGGCTTTTCTCGATAGTGTCGATAACTTTGGCTAATTCAGATTTCAAGTCGAAATTTTCTTGTGTAGCCTCCATCAAAGCATCACGACGAGAATTTAGAAAAGCTCAGCTCACATCTATATTGAAATTTTCTTCAAGAGCATTATATTCCTTCTCCAGAGCCGCATATTCCCTTTCCCACATAGCAAGATCATTTTTCGTTACTTGATGTTCAGCTAAGTGAGAATCTAGGGAAGCTTCAAGAGAGGCATGGGAACTTTCCAAGGCACGAATTTTGTCGGAAGAAATCCTTAACTCATTTTGAGTTTGAGTCAAGCTTTGCACTAACTCCCCTACATACTCTTCTTTCTTGGCCAAAAGTGCCTTAAGTTCCCTGACTTCTTCACTAGCCTTTGATAATTGTTCTGAAAATGAGCATTCCAAAAGCTCCTTATCTCTTTTAAATTGGCTCGAAGAAGCCTTGGCAGTTACTAGCTCAGAAGTCAAACCACACTTCTGCTGTTCCAGGAGATTTCTACTTTCTTGCAACTCCTCTATGGTCCCCTCAGCATTCTCAAACTGCTCTTTCCAATTAGCTGCTTCTAGTTGGGCTCCCCTGGCTATTTCCTCGGCCTCGTGGATAGATTTTTTCAGCTCACAGGCTTTTCTTTCCAGAAGGGAAATTCTTCCCATCAATTCTGTACCAATGAGGTTAGCCTACAAAGACAACTCATAGAAATGAGGATTTGAAGATTAAAAACAAAAAAGCTTGTTGGTAAGTAAAGGAAAAATACCTTCAAAGTAGAATGAACTATGTCATTCATCAAAGTGTAACAACTATGGCTCTGCATCTTGTTCTTTTCAATCTCTCCAATAAGAGGTTCGAGCCAAGTATCAGCACCACCAGATTTTCTGAAGAGGCTTTGATTGGCAGGGACTTCGAGTGTGACACTCCTCATAGTCATGCCTCTATTCTTGGAACTTACCTCTATAGGTTGAACAGATGAAGACGGAACAACAGAAGGGGGAGCAGTAGAAAATGTAAACACAACAGGAGTCATAGGAGTCAAAGCACGGATGGAAGGAGAAGATGTAGAAACCAACACAGGAATGGAAGTAGGTGCAGTTGAAACTGGCAAAGGAACGGAAGCCGTCAGAGCTGGTAAAGAAATACTTTCGGTTGACAAAGGAATGGAGGAAATAGGAACGAATGAGGAAAGAGGAGCTTCATCAAAAACAGGGCCGAGCTCGCCACTATCAAAAAGACGCTAAGTTGATTCATTAGTATCTCTTGGCACGGTGTCTTCGTCAGAATGAATCAAAATAGGCTCGGTGATCGAGGTTTGAACAGGAGTATCTTCAATTTCATCATCATTAATGACTCGCCTCCTGACTCTTGGCCTGGTTATTAAAGAGGTATCTTCCTCTTCCTCATTCTCAGAACCTTCTTCTATAGCTTTCCTCTTTGAAAGCGACGCTCGAGCCTTGTCCAAATCAAGTGCAGCATTAGCAGACATGCGAATGGCCATAGCTACCTCAGCTGCCATTCCTCTAATGCCAAATCCTGATTAAAAGAAGGATATACAATCAACATTGAGGAAAAGGTGTTTAACATAAAAAAAAACGTGTAAAAAGGGCATACTGTGTGTTTTCACTTTCCAACCATGTAAAGAAGAAATTAATTTCCAAGTTCTTTGATCCTTAGGAGCAATCTTTAAAATTGAATCTACCCAATCACGGAAGTTGGGAATAAGTTCCACATCTCCCATGGTTACTACAAAAAACCAAAAATATACGAAGTTAGAAAAAGAATCGGAATTCTCAAAAATAGGTACGGTAAATAAAAGGAAACTTACGTGCAAAATTCCACTTCTCAGGGAAGGGAATATTTGTTTCACCAAGCAAGTCCACTGTACGTACGGCAACGTAACGGGTATACCATCCACGATCTTTGTCATCTTCAGGGTTAACCAAAACCTTCTTGCTTCTTGCAATTAAGGTAAAAAACCCATGGCGCATTAAATTGGGATGGTATAAATGAATAAGGTGAGAGAAGGTAAAGTTGACATTGGCTTTGGAAGATAAGTATCTCAAACAAGCCACTGCTCTCCACACTAGGGGACCGATTTGGGCTAAACAGATTTTAAAGAAACGACAAAAATCAAGAATAACTGGGTCAATCAGAGGATTAAACCCCAAAGTGAAGGGGTAAGTATAAACAAAAGAACACCCATTCTAAAGGAAGAAATTCTTTGATTTGCGGAAGGAATTGACATTCAAAGACTATTTTTTCAGTTACAATCTCTTCTAATGGTAGGGATTGTAAGCTCGGTCACTACTGAAGGATAAGTGTCAGCTTTTTCTAAATTTACAATTTGCTTTTGAAGAGATGTTCTATCATTTCCAAAAGACAAATCGCTGGGAACGATTTCATCGACTAAAGGTTCTTGAGAAGAATCAAGAATTTCTTTATCTTTAGAAGAAGGAGCTTTTGGGATAGAACTCCTAGAAGAAGAACCATAAGAGCCGCCTCGAGTAGATTCTAACCCTGTTCGAAGCCTACCTCCTCCACCTCTTCTATGTCTAACAGGAGCGTTGGGGAATCGATCTAGAATTGGAACTTTTTTACGGTTAGGGTTTGGAGATGACATTGTTGAGAAAGGTTGAATCGAAAGAAAGCAAAAGTAAGGAAGAAAAAGTTAAGTATGTAGAAAAGGTTAAGTATGTATATAATGGCAACCGTCAAACTTAGAAGTGTAATGATGGAAAGCTTATAATAAAGGCAACTATCACTTCGTGAATAGTGGGAGTGAAGAAGCCTTGAAAAAGGGGGAAAAATAGTATAATCAATCAAAAAGTGACACATGGACAAAACATTAAATGGAAGGGACAACTGAGACGTCAATATTACCATAGGCATTGATTATGGTAAAAATTCCCTTTTTTATGAAGATCCACTTCCCAATTATTTAATTGATAAATAAATGGAAAGTGGGGGGACTATCTGTATTGGGAAAAACTGAATTTATATTAAAGATAACGTGGCATGACACGTGGTTTGGTCAAATGGTCAGAACATAACAATTGACTAAGAGGCACGAGTGGAGACAGCCACGGGAAGAGGAGGTTAAATAGGCACGAGATGAAGTGCAGATACGAGTCTCGTACCTATTCAAATCATTTAAAGCCAACAGATTAGAAGGCATTGAAAGACAGAGATCTGATGACAGAAAGGAGTCCAAATTCATTATTAAATACCTGATGCGTTAGAGAATTGGTATTTAATAGGAATGATTGTGTAGCGGCTTATTTAATGTCATTTATTACTCATAATTATATCATTAAAGCTGAGGTTTCATTCCTTTACCTAGAATCACCTATAAAAGGAAGAAGTTTCATCATTTGTAGGGACACGAAAAACTTATTGATATCATACTGAAATACAAATTCTTTACTGCTTTATTCTTATTCTCAAAGAGCTTATTATTCTACTTTGGTCTCTTGATTATCAGTAACCCGATTTTTCATCTTAAATTCTAGCTTTGACCAAAATATTATTTTTTGGGTTAAACAGTATTAAATGCATACACTTTGAAGTTTCTCAATATATAGTTATGTTCTCACGTTTCAGAGAAAATTTTATGAAGGAATTGGCAAATGTCAGACTGATAAGTAGTATATAAATTATATTCTCAACAAAAGAATTCGCGTTAAATTAATATTCTCAGAATTCGATAATGAGACATATAATAAAATGGAAAAAATAGCTGCAAATACCAACACTGGAAAATAGAAATAAAATAAAAATAATGAAGAAATACAAATTTTTATATCATGCCTTCAACTCAAGACCCTTGAGATTATGTTGTGTTGGAAAAATGGCCTTCTCGAGACATGCCGAACATGAAAGGTGGAAATTTAATAATATAGAGGAGGTGGTGATGGAGAAGGAGTTGAAGATGATTGATAAGAGTAAGGAAGTGGTGGTGATGGTGAAGGGGGAGAGGGCGAATTATAGTAGTATGGTGGTGGATGAGAAGCTGAAGGTTTCTTGTAATACTTATTCTTTGGCAAAGATGGCACTTTGTATTCTTGTTTAGGCATTAAGGGTACCTTGTAATAGTCAGTTTTTGGAACTGATGGCTTTTTGTAGTAGTCATTCTTTGGTACAGATGACACCTGATATTCTGGTTTAGGCACTACGAGTACCTTATAGTAGTTACCCTTTGGAACAGATGGCACCTTGTAGTTATTCTTCGGAACTGATGGCTTTTTGTAGAAGTTATTCTCTGGTACAGAAGGCACCTGATATTCTGGTTTAGGCACTACGGGTACCTTATAGTAGTTATCCTTTGGAACAGATGGCACCTTGTAGTTATTCTTTGGAATTGGTGACTTTTTGAAGTAATCATTCTTTGGTACAGATGGCAGCCTGTACTCATGTTTAGGCATTGAGGGTGTCTTGTAATAGTTATCTTTTGGAACTGATGGTGTCTGGTAGTAGTCATTCTTTAGCAAAGATGGCGCCTTGTATTCTTGTTTAGGCACAGAAGGTACCTTGTAGTATTTATCTTTTGGAAGAGATGACACCTTCTTGTAGTTATATTCTGGAACAAATGGTTTCTTGTAGTAGTCATTCTTTGGCAAAGATGGTATCTTGTTTTCCGGCTTAGGCACTGTGGGTGTCTTGTAGTAGTTATTTTTTGGAACGTATGGCACCTTCTTGTAATTATCTTTTGGAAAAGATGGATTCGTGTAGTAGTTATTCTTTGGCAAAGATGATGCCTTGTATTCTTGTTTAGGCGCGGAAGATACCTTGTAATCATTCTTGGCCACTTGTAGCACTTCGTAATTGTCTTTTGACACTGGCACTTGATTATATGATGGAACTGGTGATTTATAAGAATCGGGTGAATATGCCATGGTGCAAGTTGCAATCAACAAAAATGCTAAAGCACAAGCAAAATGAAGCCATTGCTTCTTCATTTGGCTCCCCATTGAGAAGATTTGGGTTCTTAGGCTTATTGGATTGTTTTTTTCTTTTTTGTGTATTTTGAGAATTGTGTAACTAGGAGTTTATATAGCCTAAACTAAGAAAGTGACTTGATGTTTTGGTTAATGCTGTTCCACTAAGTTCTTGAGATGATGGAAAGCCATGAACAAACCATAGCTTTGCTTGACTAATTACATCGTGAAAAGAAAGTACTTTTCTTGTTAAAAAAAAAAAAACTTATTTTATATCATGAAAAGAAAAATACTCATTTGTTGTAATGAAAAAAAAATACTCTATCTATAACATAAAAAGAAAGTACCATTAATAATATTTCTATTTAGGGTGGGGATTGGAGGCGAGGGGTGGGGTTGTGGTGGGTGAGGTGGGTTGNGGGAAAACATTTTCTCCAATTGGAGGAACATATTTTTCAAAACATTTAAGCTAACCAAATTTTAAAAAAAAAATTAAAAAATATTTTTCTTCATACCAAACACACCCTTAGTGTTTAATTCTTTTATCAAAAAAAAAGGGATAACAAAAAGCGTTTCAAAAAGCGCAACTCTTTAGTTATCAGTTTTGTGAAAGAGTCCACTACTGCATTACCTAATTAATTCACGTAGTACTCGTGTCTTTAAGGTCTTTACCTGAGTATTTTATGTGAATTCTTCAAAATTTATACATTAAAGTTGGTAAAAAATTATACATGTATCGATCTATACTAGATAGTTACACAAAGGCATATCAAATATTGTATTTTCGTGTGACCTGCAGGTTATGAGTTCACATCGTGAAAGTAGCTACTAATGCTTGTATTAGGGTAGGTTATTTACATTACATCCTTGGAATACGACCGTTTCTCGAATCCTGCATGAACGTGGAATGTCATATGCAATGGATTGCCTTTGCCGTATCAAATATGTATGTATCTGCCTAAGAAATGTCCATTATTTGATCATGTAAGAATCATGAGTTAAAGTTGGCAGGTTGGGTCCATTATATTATATGTACTTGATGCTGCAGATCCTTAAGCACGACTTATAATTCATCACATCATGGGGCAATGATTTTCATCTTAAAGAAATAAGAATGAATATATCGCCAAGTGATATGGTGGGATGGTCGGATGAGATCCTCGAACTTTAACCAGAGGTTTTATATTTGAGCTTTGAAAATTAAAAAGCTCCTCATAGAATATATTTCCTCTTTTTCTGCGACTTACGCGATGCAGATCTAGCTTAATTAATCAGACTAGTGAGTAACAAGAAAATAATACGGGTACTTTGATAGAAAAGCATATAATGCTAGAACTTTGTCTGCTTGACTAAGCTGGTTTTTGTGGCGAGGCTGTTGAATTTGGTAAAGTCCCACATCGGTGGGTTAGCCATTTGGTTGGGAAATTTTCCCTATAAAAGAAGGCCTAA